AGAAAAAGCAAATTAGAATCCTGCGTGTTCTGCGCAAGGCTGTTGCCATCTAAGCTGCACTACGGCCAATTTTCTCAGCAGTATGAAATGATTGTTTTTTTCTTTCTTATCAGCGTCGAGGCAGCATCTACAGCAGTGAGAATTTAAAATGAAAAGCCCTTAGTTTTTGTCCCCAGGAACACAAAATAGACAAACATCCGAACGTGCGCGCACGCACACACACACACACACACAAAATTAGATCTTGGGTTCTAGGCTAGACAACTAACTGTTTGTGTGTAAGCCTCGCTCTGCGGCACAGCAAAAGCAATTCTCTGGAGATGCTGAAATTAAAGGGCAGAATCCAGCCTGTTTATGGTTGGCACTCCGCTCTCCTCTCAATCAAAGGTTTTATTAGCAATCATTCGGCACTCTCCGGGCCCTAACACTCCTCTGCCAGAGGAGGGAGGGGTTTCAGGATGGTGACCCCTGCTCCCACAGCTGCCTACAGATGCTGGACTACACACAGCTGATTACTCCCACCTGGAGCCAGAGTCACCATTAACCTCCACGAGGGCTCAAGCGGCCTGCCTGCTTCCCCAAGAGGACGGAGGGTTACGGAGACACAACCAGTGAGACGCAAAGAATAGAGAGAAGAATAAGAAGAAAAGGGGGGGGGGGACCATGGTTTAGCAGTTACTGCTATAGTGCTCATGTGGGACACTCAGGTTCAATTCTGGCAATACTTTCACCCTGAAGTATGCGATGTGAAGTCTGCCACATTTGGAACAGAACTTTTAGTCTCTAATTGTGCTGCATCCCAATTCGCCTACATAAACTGTAAAAATGACATAGCTTTGAGTGTGTAGGAGAAGAGTAGGTCCGTTTTACAACATACTACCACATCATTATTGTGGGCCCTATCATACACCTGGCGCAATGCAAAAGTGTTTTTTGCTAGTTTCAGCCTGACGCAGTTATCATTTTCACGTCCTGCACCACGTTATTTAAATAGCAAATGCATTTGCGCGCCCATGGGCGTGCTGGTCTGGAAACGAGGTGTGTACGGGCACATTGTTGGCACGTTGCTATTTTGAGGCAACTGAAATAGACTGTGCCATTGACCAACCAAAACCTGGTCAACTGAAGTCAATGGCGCAATATTTTTTTTGTTATTTAAAGAGCGCGTTATTAATGTGCGCCTATAGGCGGGTCCACAACACGCGTACACTTTGTGCCTGAGATGGTCTTTTAAATTTATGCATGAGCAGATTCGTTTCCTCGCTAGAGAAGCGCTCAGTCTTTCCGCTGGCAAATTCCTCCATGTAAATAGCGAATCCGCCATCGCGCGAGCGCAACTGGCTTTTAAAGGAAACAGGAGATGAGACTCTGATTGGTTTATTGCACGTTACGCCCGAAACACACCCATTACTCATTAAAAGAATAGAGACAACCCTTTTAGACCATGCGCCGCACGCGCCGACCATTTTTCCCGTCGTTAAACTAGCCAAAATGGATGCGGAGACGCCCTAAGTGCACTTGCGCCCTGTGCTTTAGACCATGCGCTTAGATTGTTAAAATAGGGCCCTGTGACTTTAACGGGCCGCATATGTACCATAGGATATGTACGTCCATCCTGGCACCGTAAACTGGCCTTGGAGACAAAAGAAGTATCCAGTCGAAGATCTTTCATGTGAAGAACTCTCCTCATGTTTTTGCATGATGCATCAAAAAGTTGCATAGCCAAAAGGTAATGGCCAAACGCATCTTTATATCTTGCAGCTGAAATACATATTATCAATTATGGTAACACTTTATTTTGATGTCCACTTTAGACAATCTATTAACTATAAGTAAATTTGTAACTACATGTCAACTTACTCTCATTAGAGTATTAGTAGACTAGTTTGCTTAAAATCTGCAACAAAAAAAACCCATTTTGATCCTCCCCCAATAGACATTCTACTGACTATAAGTAACTTTGTAAGTACAAGTACATAACTTGGGGTGACCAACAGTCCTGTTTTCACGTCATGTCCTGGCCGTCCTGGCTGTTTTTTATAAAGTGATAAAAATGTCCTGGTTTTCAAAAAACTGCTGGGAAAAATCAGCTCTACAGCAAAATATAGATGGGCAAACAAGGAGGATGAGGAAGAAAAACAGGATAAAGAGGAAGAAAACTAAAGATATAAATATATTTTGTTATTTCTTTTTTGTAAGTTTGTGAGAGCTATTTTTGCTCAATTTGGAGGTATTTCTTTTCGTTATTTATTATTTATATATTTATTTTTATAATAAAGAAGAGACATTATTTCTATCATTATTTCATGAATTATTTTTGAAACCTGTCATAATAAAACATGTTGAGTAACCTCTGAGAAGCCTATCTGAATTTGTGTCTTGTAATATAACAATTTTCTATTCATACAGAGGAGGCATGGCCTACTTTAAATGTATTGAAATTAATAAGGCATCTCTGAGTAAACTTCGAGTATCATTTGAGTATCTGTTTGCCGGGCCGAGTGTCCTGGTTCAAATATCAAAATATGGTCACCCTAACATAACTACTAAGCTTAACCCTAACACCTAACAGTCTACTACTGGCTACTAATTCTCTAATGAGAGTTAGTTGACATGTAGTTGCAAAGTTCCATCAAAACAAAGTATAAACTTGATTATTAAATACTCAATGTTCAATGGATAGTTTGTGAATTGGGACGCAGCAATGGATGTCATAACTTTGCTGATGGCTGTTGGCACCACAAGAATGTGCACTGTCCCAAACACTTCACTAGAGACTATCCTCAGCTGTGACAAGTAAGGCAGCAGACAGGAAAAATATCCATTTTGCACATTTAAGAGCTTCCAAAAAGAACTGAGCACTGATCAAACTTTTACTATATTAAAATTATATAGGCAAATGTGAGGATGAAATATAGTTTTTTTTTTTATACACAGGTGAATGGCAATAAATGGGTTAACACACTTCTTTGGACCAGAAGATTGGGCAAGGCTAACCAGCTAACCCTGCATTGCTCAATATTGAAAAGAGTTAAAAGAACCAATCACTTAATTTGCTTTAAGTCATGCTGGAAAACATGATCTGTAAGTGTGTGTTCACACTTGGCATGTTTGGCTGGATTAAAACAAACTCTGGTGCGATTGCTCTGTTAGTGTGGTTCATTTGAAGAAGTGTAAACGCTGCCATCTGAACCCTGATGCGCACCAAACAAGCAGGCCGAGACCACTGAAAAGACGGGTCACTGTCTGCTTCCAAACAAACTCTGGTGCGATTCAAACGGAATATGAACACAACACGGACAAAAAAAAAAAAAAGGACAGAATGCTCAAGCGTACCTGTTTTTTCTTGTTATAGTCACGATGTTGCCCAAACCAGTTCAGTACAGGATCGCAGCAGATCTTGGTTTGTGTTTGTGACGAAGGGATTCCTGCCACTGTTTTGACTCCTTTACACATTTTATAAGCTCTTCATGAGTTCTCAGCTGGTGAAAATATCATCATATGTAGGCTAATCACATACAATGAGCTCATTTAGCCCAGCACACAGTATTGTTTTGGATGTTCGGTAAGTTCCATCGCAAAATATACGTCATAAAAGCAGTCTAATCAGGTTGTGAACGTATCTCTATGCCTTTAGGTTCAGGATCTTTAGCTGACAAAAACTGACTAGGACTAAATGTTTTTGTTTTTGTGGTCAGTTTCATGGCCTCCAGAATATTTTGTTGTATGAATATCTGAACATGCAATATATCTAAATAAAGAACAGATTTTTAAAACAAAAAAACTTGTTTTATTCTAGCTTCATGGATTCTTTTTGTTGTTGTTGTTGTTGTTTAGCAAAAAACTGAGAAAATCATGACTACATCTGGATCGGATTCATACTAATGATAAAAACATATAGATTGAGTAGTTTGAGTAGATAGAGTCCATCAACACCCCTAATGCTTGCACAGTCCTATACCTTCCTATAAACCAAAGTTCTATGATTCAGTAACATTAGGCAGTTTTGATTTATATGCTGTTTAATGTTAGAGCCTGGATGCCAGCCCGAACACCGCCCACAACATTTTTTGGTCGGGAAGTTCGGTCTGGACTCGATCCATTGAGGAGTAATTATGACCGGTTCAGAATTAGTCAGGCCAATCAAATTGCCAGGGCGGGCTTTATACGATGATGGACAGATGATCTGCAGTTACGTAATCATCACGTTACCAAAGAGCGCTTGGGTTGAACTGGTTTCCCTCAAAGATGACTGCAGCTGGAGAATTGAGATGTATAGATTCCGCTATCGTGTCTGTTGTAAAAGAAATCGACAGCGCATTCATTTTTAAAGACGAACAGAGAACTGCAATCAAGGCATTTGTCGATCGGAAAGATGTGTTTGCCGTCCTTCCTACGGGATTCGGCAAAAGTTTATTTTATCAGCTGGCTCCGATGGTCGCTAAGAAGATGGGACGCAATGAAAACCCTGTGGTCGTTGTGGTTTCTCCTTTGGTCGCACTCATGGAGGACCAAGTAAAAGAAGCAACACTCATTATTTTACTACTTCTTCCAGCGTGCGTGTTGTTAGGTTCTGTTGACATTGACAACTATGCGTAGCTCATAAAAAAAAACACTGCGTTGCTCTGATTGGTTGTAGGTCTATCCAATTGAGTGCAGAGTTTTTTTTTTTCCTGGTTCGGTTAAGACACGCCTCATAATCAAAGCCCTATGGAACAGTATCAGACTCACATTCTGACTAGAATATGAGTATGACGAAGTCAGGCTAGTTTAATGTGGGATGATCGCGTTATTTTACATATGCATATGCTTACATATGCTATCGCTTGTTTCTGCTGCTTCTTCACTTGTGTTTTGATCAGGGGATTCTGTACTCTTTCAGAAGATGCATAAAAGCGTTCCCTGTATAACAGTGAAAACACGGAAAGCCGGAAATTTCAGTCAATGGCGGGGAAAGGGTTAAAAAAGTGGAAAAAGTGTGGGGTAGTAAAGACAGTTACCTTCTGACAGACTGAACTATGCTGAGATTTCAGCCTGGACACTTTCTCCTCCAGCCACTGTATCTGCTCAGCCTGTGAACACACACATGCACAAAGATCATGAAATTCACATCACAAATGTTTACCATCAAACAGAAATGTTTTAAGAAGGAGACAATAACCAGAGCAAAGATGGTAGCTCAGAACAAACAAAGCAGTGAGAAAATGGCTGCACTGGTCAGTCATAATGAGAAGCGGAGGTGTGTGTGTGTGTGTGTGTCAGGTTCCCTGCTCTGCTCTCATCACATCTGCTGTCAGTAATCTGTTCCTGAGCCAGCAGTGCTGGGATTAAGTGCAGTCTGCAGATAAAGGATGTATGCGTCATTAAAACACACAAGACCGACACGTACACACTCACAGAGCCACCGGTGAGTAATAATGCGGCCACAGTTTCGATCACAAACGCAGCTTCATTTCTATGTGAAAATCATGGCCGTTCAGAGTGTGGAAGTCTCAGATGTGAAGTTCTCTCAAAAAGCAAACTGTCCAGCTGTGCATTGGAGAAATAATGATTTTAAAAGGGATGAATCACCCCCCCCCCCAAAAAAAAATCTTGTTAACTCTTTATTTAACAGTGTCTTCTTTGTTACATGTACTAATAACAGAAAACAATGCATAATTAAATGCAACAAACCCTAATCCTAACCCTATAGTAATTACTGGTAGTTAGTTAATATTACTTTGTACTTAAATGTATAATTACACTGTAACAAGGACACCTTCAAATAAAGTGTAACCAAATTCTCTTATCTACTCACCATAATGTATTTCTAAACTCTATTTCTTTCTTTCCAGAAAAGGACAAAACTCTCCGTAAAGTAGTCCATGCGACTTATGGCCTGTTTACACCTGGTCACTTCATGTGTTTTTACTAATCTGATTTGTTAAAACAGTCCCATTTACTCTTGGCCACATAGATGTCTCTGCAAAAACAAATATAAATCCAATCTACAACTCCCGCTTTATATGCAAATTTAACAGAGTTCACGATTTGTATTGAGAAAAGCGCTATAGAAATAAATGTGAATTTTATTGAATCTGCGGCTATGCATGTTGCACTTGACCTGTCATATCTGGCTATAACATATCATATAGCATCTCCAATAATGCTCTCACACGCTTATTTTTTAACATTTTGGGATGAGTAGAATTTACATATGTGCCTTCAACCCCCAAATACATTTAAATCCATCTCAAAAGCGTTTCAGAGGGCGTCCAGGTGTAAAAAGACACTTGTATGTCATAAGTGAGATTTGATTTACAATGACTGAATTTTGCTCTGTCCCTGACATCATGCTATTATAAGGCTTTAGAAAATTTGGTGTGTGAGTGAGTAAAGCTACTTATGGACCACTTTTATGGTACTTTTATGGTGCCTTTTAGACATTTTTCGAGCTTGACTATCTAAAGTCACGGTATGATTGTTAAAAAAAATCTTCCTTTTATGTTCCACAGAAGAAATTAAGTTTGGGACGTCATGAGAAATAATGAACACATTTTCATTTCAGGCTGAGTTATGCCTTAAAGGAAACAATGTTGTCCATGTGTATACATTTTAGGTCTGATTCTTTGCAGGAAATGCTGAAAAATACTATGCTTCTCAATAGAGGAAATTTGATTAAGGCACCAGATCATGAACAAAAGATAATAGTCACAGAGAATAAGAACATAGCACACATGAACTCTCACTGATGTCCTGACAAGGAGATCAAAAGCTTTCTGCCATGCACTATTCCATTTAATACAAAATTCAGCCCTTCTGGAAAAAAAATCTAAATAAAATAAAAAGAAATTCTGAACAAAACAAAGAACACAAATTTAAAAACAAATTCACATTTTAACTACTGGCCTGTAAATATTAATATACCAAACTTTTTTTCAACTAATTTTATTGTCAAATTAGTGTAACGGGGGCCAGCTAGTAAGAGCTGTGCAAGTAAACCTCACTCCCTTGGCCTCAAGAGGCATGCTAGCGTCTAAAGACTGTGTTTTTTATCATCCATGTTAACGCGCCAGCCTCTCATGCCGGAAACGTATGTTCGAATCCCGCTCAGAGATATGGGCGAGTAGAACCAGAGGGGTTATATTGATGCCGTGACTTAGGGTAGGAGTGAGGTTTAGCGGGGTGAGTGTAACGGAGGCCAGCTGTGCAAGTAAACCTCACTCCCTTGGCCTCAAGAGGTGCGTTAGAGGCTGCGTTCTTTACCGTCCCGTGCCAGAAACACCCGTTCGAATCCTGCTCGGAGTGGGGCAAGTAGAACTGAAGAAGTTACATTCGCATGAATACAATCAAAATACAATTTAAGAACATGAAAGCTGTACACTGGTAAGCGCAACAACTCTCCCCTGTCTGCTGATATTTTTTGTTTTTTAAACTATCTAAAACATCTTGTCAGTATAATGTGTGTTCAGAAAAAAATTGAATAAAAAAACTATTCCAAAAATCTAAAGTCTGTAGAATTGCTTAAGACATCTCAGTAAAATGAGTAGAGGTCAACTGGATAAACAGAACAGCATTAACCGCAGTAATGACTCCCAGACCATGTGACATTACAGAGAGGTGAGAGCCTATGAGCAGGAAGCAGATGGTATATGAATGACACAAACTGTAAGAAACTTATTTGACATACAAACAAGTACTACAGTATTTCCATGGTTTCTTGGACACATCCCATGGTATTCACTGAAGTACCCTGGAATACCACGTATATACTATGGTTTATAAATATTTATCATTCAGTACTATGGTATCACCAGCTGATAGCATCACTGCACCATGGTACCAGTGTTATTTTATTATATTTTTATACATTATATTTTTTGTTAATATTTTAAATTAGATTTTTTAATTTTCAGTTTTCACTTTTAGTTTTAGTTTTTATGTAAAATTCAAGGTAAAGGGGTGGTTGATTATGATTTGTCTTTTCTAACTTTAGTTAGTGTGTAATGTTGCTGCATAAACATCTGCAAAGTTACAACGCTCAAAGTTCAAAGCAAAGGGAGATATTTTCTTTTACAGAAAATCGCTTTTTAAGGACTACAACAAACGGCTGGTAGGGACTACAATGAGGTTCTTTCACAGGTTAGTGACATCACTAACCCTAAAATTTACATAAACCCCGCCCCCGGGAACGCGATTTATAGATTATCATGACAGAATATGCTAATCAATGACTAGAAGATAGTTAACTCCACATCAGCTACATAAATTCGTCAACTAACCATTCAGAAATGTCCAGTTGCATTCTACATGTTGTCACTTCTTCTCAAGTCTCTCCATCATTGTCTGACTCCGGTTGGAACATAAAAGGCTAAAAGTTGTTGAAATTTTCAGTGCGTGTCTGTGTAAGGTAATCGCTAACACTGGAGCTGTTGAAGCTCCGCCCTCTGTGCCGGGAACAGCATCAGATTATTTGCATTTAAAGGGACTCACACAAAAACGGCGTGTCAAAATGTGGGGTGTTTTGAGCTAAAACTTCACATACACACTCTGGGGACATCAGAGACTTATTTTACATCTTGTGAAAAGGGCATTATACCGCCTCTTTAAACTAAACGAAAACGAGAAACCTTGCCTTGGCAACTAGCTGAAATAAAAAAAATATATATATTTTATTTTAAGTTAACGTTTATTTTGTTTCAAGAAACAACTTTTTTTTTAAATGGTTATAGTTAACAATAAAAATCATGTATGGCACCACAACAGGACTTTGAATACATTTCCATTAGTACATCTACTCTAGTGCATATACAGTAGTCACCATCAGTGCGACTGTATTTGTAAATTGTGAATTATCCAATCGCACTGTTTTGGGCATCCTGCGTCCCTTCCTGGCACCGGCTCAGCACGGACAGCTCATTCTCCAGTTCTTCTTGGGCCTCTTTGCACTTTTCCAACACCGTGGACCAGACCAAACTAAGCTCCGCAGAGAATCTGTCCACCTACAGGGCGGCGCCAGACACGAGAAACATAATGCAATAGAATCTTCTTTCCAAGGGCACATACAGACAAACTCATTCAATCTGACCCTTTGTGGAGGTGACCTCCTTGCAATCAGCCCCGTGGAACACTTATTTCCCAGCTATAATCAGACCCGCTCACCAAGGCTTGACCTTTTCTCAGCAGCCCCTCAGCCATGGCTATGTATAACTCCAATATAAAACCCAGCCCCCTAGAGAGAGACATCTGCTAGAGCTCAGATCCACGGCCATACGGGTTAATTAGGGAGAGAGAGCACAAGCACACCGCTGCACAAACAAGCTAGAAAGATCTCGGACTATATGAAAGGTATGATATATGTAAGTTGCACCTAATATCAAAGTATTTACTGTGGCACAGGGTTATATTTTCTAACTTTTTTTTGCACCATTCTCATGGTAACAAACTAAATTAAAGAAACAACTTGGAACCTATAAAGCAAGGCGGCCTTCAAGTTCATTATGCGGTCCTCTTAATAACATCTAATGCACTTATTTTCTAATCATGCAGATATAGCTCCTAAATTCTTGAATTATGATGGCAGACCAAATTCTACAAAATTGGTGGCTGAGCTTACATGTCAATACCATATTTCAAAGCTCCAATAAAATATGACATTATGATAAATGCTACATTTTTACTGAATATTTGACATCAACAATGGTACTCAGTGGCCTGGTGCCATTTAATTTCCATAAGAGCTTCATTCTCCACCTGCACCTTCACCAGATTCCCTTTCACCTCTGAGAGCTACAAGAGAGCAGACACACTTCATATAGCTCTCATAGTATGCAATTATTTTAAACTAAAGCAATAAATACTTTTGACAGATCATGCGCACTTGAAGGCAAGTGGCCTAGAATAGCTGTTTTATTCTACATAGAGTGGATAGCATGATCAGAGCGTTACATCCTCTGGCTTTATTTAGAGCTGATATTAACATCCTGTTCAGGTGACCTCACTTTGAAAAGGTATAATGCTGCTAAATATAAATATAAATTGGGTTCTAAATGTTTTGAGATTAGTTTACTTCAACCACATTCTCAAGTGGACAAAAACGCACATGACCACATTGCAAACCAAGGCCATAACCACCCCTAACAAAGAGCAGGGCAAATCCACCTATAATAATTTACTCTTCACAGCTGTACATGAATTCCAGTGTGACACTTAACGGTGAAGTAAGATGTAAGTAGTTAAACACTTTTTACGGTAGGAATGTTAAGCGAACGACAGTAATATCAAATAATAATAAAAACAACTTGACTTTTTTGGTCAAATTTCTCAGGATCAACCGATACGGAACTAAACATCCAGATAGTTCTCCCCAGCTCATTTATTGCAGAGTAACTGAATCAGTCACATGCCTGTGAATATGATATTTCAAATGGCATTGGTAACCAAAACCGTGATCCACACCAATAGGTGCCAGTATAAAGTGCAATAGCATCATATCACCGAATCATGAAGAAGAAAAAATACTTAGTGCACCTTGTGGTACTTCTATTCTTGCTCAAGTCTTCGGAAGTGAAAATATTACACATGTAATTCAGTCTCACAAAGTAATGAATCTCATTTAAAAGAGTTTGAAGCTGTGAACATAGAGATAATAAAGGTGCCTCACACGATAACAAACAAGCTGCGTCTGGAGCGTAAAAAGGCTGTGAACTTAAATGTGTGAGTGTTAGTAAACAAGGGCATTGTGAGTGTGAGGTTGTTCTCTCAGCAATCAGTGTAGAGCTCCCCTAACAAGTCTGCCATGACGCCTAGCGACAGGTGACACAGCCACTGGTGACGGACAGCACTGGCCTGAGCTCTGATTGGTCAGCAGTCCGATCCAGGAGGGGAGGGCTGAGAGTCTCACTGCAGCAAACACTAGCTTGTAGCAACATGTCTAATATCACAAACGGTTTTTGATGCATTTAAATTATGCATATATTACATTTTACAACCTAAAAGAAAGAAAAAAATCACAATATTCAGAAGAGATCTCTAAAATGTCTCACACTGTGTTCAGATTTAAAAAGATTCCAAAGTCTGCAAAAATCAAACTTCAACCTGAATTCTCATCATTCTCATCAAATTCTAACAAGATCACACACACTTATAAATACAACTGACTCTTTTGAGGAATTTGAGAAATATCTTAGAAAAAAATTGATACATAAGAAACATAACTTAAGTCTCATGAGCTGGGGGTCGTGTCATGTTTTAAGTATCTATCTGCATTTTGATGTCTTCTCTGGGATCATGTTCCCTGGCATCTGGCAAGAAAAAAAGTCTGAGACCCTCCTCACCTCAACAGGGGAGGGGCAAACACCTGTCTCAAAGAACTCTCACTTCAGTCCAGCTGCCAGCTGTTCAACACATGTACTGCACGGTCTACAGCAAACATGGAACATAACAGGTTTAGCAGAGTTACTTAGGCAAACAAAGAGTTTACTTGATACATAAAAACAACAGATTTCAGACCCAAAAAACGGCATATTAAGCATTTTACCATCATGTGCAAGTCAAAACAATAGTCCTCAAGTCAAAGTAACAACTGCAGCTCAAAAGCCGCCATCATTACAACAAGTACCATTGTAATGTATGAAAACGACAGAAGCTTTCAGTTCATTATGGTAGCTTGGATTGGGATCATTTCGTGTGTTTTTTTTTTCCTCTCAAAGCTTTTTCAAAATCATCCCTGACTGAACATTTGCTCTTGGTAAACTTTGTGTGTAACAGCACAAGCCAATTCGTTATAATTACAGCTATTCTTCTTATGTGAAATCATCCTTCTTAGAAGAAGAGAAAAATACACAAATTACTGCAAATGCAGTGGTCTGATATCAAAGTATCTCACAAAGAAGAGCCCAAAACAAAAGCATGGAGATTGAGAGAGTAAGAGAGAAAGAGAGAGAGAGGGAGAGAAAGGGCCTGAGCAAGCAGCATGGGCCTGGCCGTGAAGCTTTTACCTGAGCTTGTAGCGCCTGATCTTTCTTCCTGGCATCTTGTAGCTGCCCGTGAAGCTGCTGGTTGCGGTCGTGTCCCCTCTGGAGCTCCTGCTGGCTTTCTTGCAGCTCTCTCTGCAGATCCCACAGCCTCTGCTCTTGGACGTCCAGCTATCCAACCACAATAGAGGGCAGGGCGCAGAGGAAGAGAAAATCAATCCACTACAAAGAGTCTCCTTCTCTGCTCGCCTGCCCGTCTCGCAGAACCCGCCATGACCAGAGCTCCGGCAAAGAGGAACTGGTGTCCATCTGGCCCTCATCGCATCCCAAACATTGAGCAACCTTAAGCGGTTCTACCCTTCACATACACCCAGACACTCTAGACAGGCTAGGACAGCCCTGCACTGAATGCAGAAACAAAAATCAATGCTTCTTAAACAAATGCGAAATCGCAGCTCATTGTTCGAAAGAAAGAGCAAGAGAACAAGCAATACTTCTGCAGGCAAATCTTTACAATTTTCGGTTACATACACAAGCAGTTTGCTCCACCATTGCGACACGTCAGTCCATTACCCACTTTTTGCAACAACAAGTATTCACTAATGGTGTTGTTTTTCAAATCATTACAGCAAGGCCCACCACGTCACATCAAAAATAAATAATTATTATTGTAATTAGCACAATAAGGTCACCTGCGAAAGAGAACGGAGAGGCGGGGAAGATGGGAGTCAAGAAAAGGAGAAAGGAGGAGGAGGTTTGGCAAACCCCTTGTTCCGGTCCAGTCCGACATTATCAAGCATCCTCATCTGCATTTCAAATTGTCGCACGATGACAGCCACATATCCAAAATGGAGGCCCAGAGACTCCCCGCAACGATCAATTAATCAGCCGCACTCATTAGAGGCCCAAGAGTAATCCACAAATTCGCCTAAGTCACCTAAATCAAACGGTCGCCCCTCGCTTTACCCATTGATTGTGGTCTGGTGACAAGCACTTCAAACCTTGCCTCGTCTTCTCATCCGTCTGTTGGCATGGTGAACGCTCGAATTCCTGCCAGATTGTAGACTAAAACGATGAGGGAAGAATGAGAATCGTTTCCCTTTAATCCTAAAAACCCAGCTCATCCTTTTGCTCTGCTTTTCGGTGTGTGATGCAAGCCGATAACCCTGCTCTTTCTTTGCCTTACAATTGCACTCTCTCTCCATTCTCCCCTCCTAAACTGATCAATACTTCATTTAAATCATGACATTAGCACACTACAACTGGAAAAAAGCTGAAAGGAATAGCAAAACGCTTCGTGTGGCAAATGGAGGGTTGGAAAATGGATCATACATTCAAATAGTAACCATAATTGTTTGTTTATATGTAAAAAACAAATGTTGAAATGCATGTGACGCTCAGGACCAACATCATTGTTTTATTTTCAGCTCCCAAGACTGACTGATCAATATCGCATTTGAATCCAGAGAGAGGGGCAATGCCGCTTCAGCTCTCAACGCTAAATGAAATGCAAATAGCTCTGCCGTAATCTACACGTATTTCAGACGTTATCATCCCGTCCCGCTGAGACAAACCCTAATGATATTTCCATACACAAAGAACATGTAGCCATACGCATTGGCGGTGGCGTGGTATGCGCCGTCATGCATTTGTTTATTCATGCAGGATGCTGTAAGAATAATCAGAGCGCTATGCAAACACTCCACACTTAAGACTTGAAGGGACGGTAATCATCGACGCAGGGGGGTGTGGGAGCAGAAAGAAGAAGAAAAAAGGTAATTTCCTGCCGCGGATCTGCATAGCAGGCGCACCAGAGAGTCTTATCTGCCTAATGGTCATTAGCGGAGCTTATTTACCTGAACGCTTTGGGCGTCACGGGCCTGATGAGAGAGGAGCAGGTCTTGCCGGAGTCTTTGGATGCTCGCGTCCCGACGTGACAACTGCGGTTCGGGTTTCACATCCCGAACGTGGCGGTGAGGAAGGAATGGAGGGCGTGAGGGGTTTTTGAGAGTAAAGAGAGGGAGGTGGAGAGAGAGGGAAGGGAAGAGTGAATCACTCCAGGAACATGCACTTACATATAGTCGGGTGCCAATGTCAACCAATGAGCAATTAGGCAGACAAGACCAAAGTTATTGATCGGGTTTGGGGCTCTTTCCCAGGCTAACTAAGCTGAGTATGTGTGATGGCTGAAGAAGCAGTAGGGAAAAAGAGGAGGGGGAGAATTTCGAAGGGCTACTCCCTCTAGCTCTCACTGGGCCTGTGGTGTCGAAGAGGGCCTGGTCATTTAACCTTCTATTGATCTTCTTCCTAAACAACCCCCTTCCCTAAACAGATGTGCATGTAAAATGTATACACGTCACACACCTGTCAATACATTGCACAGTCAGATGTGTCTGCAAGGCTACTGGGGAAATGGTCCCATGTTTTGCAGACATCAGGGTTCTTGGGAAGATATAACCCTGAGTGTGCATCATAGGTTACCAACCAGATTGCAGACTTTAGCATTGCTTTATGGATGTGCTTGAGGGTACACACCATTCATTTGAGATGAATGAAACCAAGGTTGTAAGGGATAGAAGTAGAGTCTTTTCAAATTGGCTGTAGAGACTTTAAGGGATAGTTCACCCAAAAATGGAAATTCTGTCATGTTGTTCCAAAACTGCATGATGTTCTTTCTTCTGCATAACACAAAGGAAGGTTTTTGAAGATTGGTTTAATGTCAGTGGGGTCCTTATTGATTTTGGTTGTATGGACAAAAAAAATACATTTTGTGTTTCACTGAAGACAGAAAGTCATACAATATGCGTTTCATTTTCATTTTTGGGTGAACTATTGCTGTAGGTTCACATGTAATTTCCATGACAGGTTCCCAAACTTCTTTAAAATTTTGGATTTTAGGTGTCTGTCATACTCGCATCTAAAAAGTTGATGCATGAATTATTAGAATAATTTGTGCACTGCTAATAAAAGGTCTCAGGACAGAAAATTAAGAGCATTGAGTGTCAAAAACTGTCTAACGGTGTGAATTGTGGCCGTACCTCAGTCTTCAACAGCTGTGTTCCTCTGAGGGCTGTGAGATCCGTGGAAGCCTAAAGAGGAAGACAATGCATCCTATGAGACTATGAAAGAAAAATGACCATTAATGTCTCTACATTAGCTCAATTGTTTCTGCTAGACAGGAAATAAATGGAGAGTAAATTGAGACAATCATTAAACAGGACAGGTCCTAAAAAGATTAAATAGTTGGACAGTTTTATGAGAAGGTAAGGTTAGTTCATGTTGTAAAAGTCACGTGATGCAAATCCCTTTAAAAATAATGAATTCAAGATGATTGTAAAATATACTTCTTACCTTGAAAATATATTTTAAAACTTAAAAAAAATAATGTAAACATGGATTCTAGTACTTTTAACTTGAAGGTTACACCACATGAGATTTTTAGAGTCAATACATTTTTGTTTTTAAATAACATTTTCAAAAACATTTTCTACAACTTGGCACATGTATTATTATTATTATTTTATCTCTTACGTTATAAAAAAATTTACCGTACATACATTACATACACATACATAACATACGTGTTGTAAACATTTTATATATTAAAATACCAAATTGCAAAGTCAGGCATTTCAACTAATTTTCTCATCAAATTCATCCAAGACCCAATTATCTGAGCTGCTACCCACAATCATTTTTTCCTACTGTATATCAACAACATTTGTTTCTTTTCTTTTTTTTCTTCCAAAGGAATTTTAGGAGAAACATCAGAGCTAGTGTTGATTAGAATAACACTAAAGAGACGTACTATAAACACGTCTAACGATACAGAGACGAAAGAGAATGAACTCAATCAGACAGGGAAAAACATCTATTCTCCCAGAGAGTGTGCAATTGAAGACATGTCTTTCATGAGATATGCTTTGTTGTGAAAGTAGAAAATTCACAAGAAAGTTTTACAAGAAAGAAGACAGAAGAGTTCACAAGTGCTGGTGAGAGGAGACGATGACGACACGCTCGCATTGACCCTTTCCTCAATAATGTCTCAGGAGAACAGTTAGTTAACACTGATTGTCTACAATCCTGCTCAATCCTGACAAGTGTGGCCTCGGCCAACTCCACTTCAACACAATCAATTATTTCCTCACTACCCATGGCCAAGAACATCCTTAAAGCACACAATCTACACCAGAGAAACACTCCATTAGGAAGGGGAGGAAAGAACATTAGGAACCAGCTTTTTTCACTGCCGGCGGGAAAATGCTGCCTTGTGTTGAGGATTCTTTTTTTAATAGCGACATTCTGATTACATCATCAAAATGATGTTTACTCCTACCACAGATTCATACAGAGATAGTGTAGAATAGTGATGTTCAGGTATTTACTAGAAAGCCATGCTCTTTTGCATAGCTTGTTGTCTCTCCGAGTTTTTCCGTCGGTGTGTTTTTGAAAAATCAATGGTGATATTTCCAGAGAGGCAGACATGATAATGAAAGAGAGAGGCGAGAAAATGCAACCCTCAGAGGTGATTGCTCATTCCGAGCGGCTTCAAACATCCATGTGTTAGAAGGACACCTTAAATATTCGGACTTTTTGCGTCACTCCAGACTAAATCCCTAGCAACCACCATAGCAACACACTTCCTCTTGGACGTGAAATGCATTGTAAGTTCCCCCCTGCCACCAGAGATGGAAGAGGGGAGGGAGGGTGCGAGCAGGACGACAGACAGAGAAAAACAGCATCACAAAATGAAAGCATGAGAGGCGAAAGGAGAAAAACAAATCAGGAAGACTTCATTCATATTAATAGCACAAACAAAACAGCCACATAAGCGAACACACTGAGGAGGGAAAATCAGCTATTTTTATTTTTCATCTGCAACACGTTTATCGTTTTCTGTATGCAAGGGATGTAATATGTCCTGAACTACCATGTCTGAAAAGCCACTGCAATGCCAGACTAATTCTTATCCGTAACTCATTTATCTACTGTCTGTATATATATATACAGATATATACACTCACCGGCCACTTTATTAGGTACACCTGTCCAACTGCTCGTTAACACTTAATTTCTAAGCAGCCAATCACATGGCGGCAACTCAGTGCATTTAGGCATGTAGACATGGTCAAGACAATCTCCTGCAGTTCAAACCGAGCATCAGTATTGGGAAGAAAGTTGATTTGAGTGACTTTGAACGTGGCATGATTGTTGGTGCCAGAAGGGCTGGTCTGAGTATTTCAGAAACTGCTAATCTACTGGGATTTTCACGCACAACCATCTCTAGGGTTTACAGAGAATGGTCCGAAAAAGAAAAAACATCCAGTGAGCGGCAGTTCTGTGGGCGGAAATGCCTTGTTGATGCCAGAGGTCAGAGGAGAATGGCCAGACTGGTTCGAGCTGATAGAAGGGCAACAGTGACTGAAATAACCACTCGTTACAACCGAGGTATGCAGCAAAGCATTTGTGAAGCCACAACACGCACAACCTTGAGGCGGATGGGCTACAACAGCAGAAGACTCCACCGGGTACCACTCATCTCCACTACAAATAGGAAAAAGAGGCTACAATTTGCAAGAGCTCACCAAAATTGAACAGTTGAAGACTGGAAAAATGTTGCCTGGTCTGATGAGTCTCGATTTCTGTTGAGACATTCAGATGTTAGAGTCAGAATTTGGCGTAAACAGAATGAGAACATGGAACCATCATGCCTTGTTACCACTGTGCAGGCTGGTGGTGGTGGTGTAATGGTGTGGGGGATGTTTTCCTGGCACACTTTAGGCCCCTTAGTGCCAATTGGGCATCGTTTAAATGCCACGGCCTACCTGAGCATTGTTTCTGACCATGTCCATCCCTTTATGGCCACCATGTACCCATCCTCTGATGGCTACTTCCACCATGTCACAAAGCTCTAATCATTTCAAATTGGTTTCTTGAACATGACAATGAGTTCACTGTACTAAAATGGCCTCCACAGTCACCAGATCTCAACCCAATAGAGCATCTTTGGGATGTGGTGGAACGGGAGATTCGCATCATGGATGTGCAGCCGACAAATCTGCGGCAACTGTGTGATGCCATCATGTCAATATGGACCAAACTCCCTGAGGAATGCTTCCAGCACCTTGTTGAATCTATGCCACGAAGAATTGAGGCAGTTCTGAAGGCAAAAGGGGGTCCAACCCGTTACTAGCATGGGGTACCTAATAAAGTGGCCGGTGAGTGTATGTTTCTCCTATATATATATTTTGTGGCTATATGTGTAATAGATGCCAATAATCTGTTAAAGTCAATGTGAATAGCTTTTCAAACCCATTTTACTTCCATAATGTGATCTACGTCTTGTGTGGTGTGTGAAATGTTGGCTTTCTATACCAAAATGGAGCCAGACCAAATGCGAGTTTTGACTATAGAGTGGTGCAGGGATGACGTATTTTTGTAGAACCAACAAGTTCGCATCACGCTGGTTCCCTTGACAAAAACCCAATAGGATTGTTCTATTGGCTTTTAGATTATTGCATAAAAAAAAGGTCTGTGACTAACAAAAGCTTATGAATTTACACATTGTTTTCATTGGGATAATCTTCACAAATTAACACAACTTTTTTGAAGCGTACATACAAGAAGTCAAAAGCTAAAGTTTACACCACAAGAACTAAACAACCACCACAATTGCATGGCTTCAACGTCACCATCACTAATGGTGTGTTCACACCGAACGCGAATTTAATTGTTTGCGCGAGTGGATTACATACAAAGTCAATGCAAAGACGCGAATAGACGCATCATTCGCGCCGGGAGTTGCGAATGACGCGAATTGGGCGGCGCGTTTGCCGCGAACGTCTACCTCGCAAGTTGAAAAATTTGCACTCGAGCGAATGTTCAAGCGTCTAACTAGACGCGATAGACGCGTATTTGACGCTCTATTCGCGTTCGGTGTGAACACACCATAAGTTTCCGAACCCGAATACTTTTTCAAACTCGTCCTAGGCGGTTGCTCGGATTTTCACGAAAATTGAACCAGATCATATTCAGACCATGCCGACAAAAAGTTATGGAATTCAAGTTGATTCGTCAAACCGTTCTCGAATACGGCACAAACTAATTTTGCGTAGCGCTTGCAAAAACAGACTTAAGGCTGCGTCTCCGCTTTATCGCATTCAGACCAATCTTGGTACATTTCATCACAAGCATAACTTGAGGCAACATGCTGCGTTTCGGCACAGCGCCACCTACTAGTCACGAGATACAAAAAATGGCTATTTTTGCTTATAACTTCTGAACAGTTTGTCCACAAATCATAAAATTGGTCTCATTAGATTCAGGGCATCATGCCGAGTCGACTGATATCCAATTTCCAGTCACCTTGCAGAGTCTAAACATGCTAGGTTTCGCTTTACGGTTTGTGTGGCGTTGTGATTTAGCGCTTAAACATTTGCCAATATGTTAGAAACCGTTAGACCGATCGAGACGAAACCACCTTAGGAAGTTCGGAAACATAGGTCGTTGGCTAGACGCTAATGCCTAAATATCAAAATATTAATAGTAAGTGGCAAGAAAATGCAAACAAAGTCTGGTGTGTGTAATTTATGTGTTTATACATATAAATGTCTATCACTCCAAAATGAAATGAGATGTGTTCACCAAATTTGACACATACATGTGTGGGATCCTCTGAGGACACGAACAAATTGGTGGGATTGTGCCTCTTGATGGCGCTATAATAGAATAAAACAAGGAAATTGCCATTAATTACAATATAATATCATGATATTAAATGCTACACTTTACGAATGCATTGGTGTACCATTAAGAAAATCGGTATGTCATCGGCACCATGCCTTGATGGTACTCAAAGAGTTTCAGGGCAGCGCCACCTAGTGGTAAAAAAGCTATAACAAAATGTCCAAACATGCTAATAACTTTTGAATACATTTGCCTATTGTAATAACACTGGTCTTAATAGATTCTTTGGGTTATGACAAAAACATATACCAATGTTCCCATAGTCAGCCAAACTTCCTGTCCACCATCTTGATTTCATTCAATACCTACTTTTTCGAACTTCTCCTAGACCGTTTGTCCGATT